CGCCGCCGGTGCTCGCTGCGATCACGGTGACGTCGAAGACTGGCCGTGCTACTCCGTAGTGCTGCGCAGCCCTCAGAAAAGGATGAGGTAATCAGTCACGGCCAAAGCGAAGCTTGTCCTAAGCGGGTCCGGCCTGTTCCTTCCAGGTTCGTCCGGCTGCCTCCGACGTAGCGTACGCAGTGTAATCAACCTCGACCGGGGTCGGTGGCGATCAGGCTCGCGACAACTTTTTTGACATCACCAGACACACCCCTCCTCCTAGAGCCCACACTCGATCGCTGTCCTCTATTTGCCGACCACGACACTTTTTTTAGTCCATCCTCACAGCAACAACACCTTTCTCAACTTCTGCAATCACAACGCACTCAGCCATGGGCTGGTTTTGGGCAGACTCGACCGAGCTCGCGGCGCCTTCCGCCTCGCCTCACGGAAACAAGAGCATGGCTGGCCTGGCCCCTCCAGTGAGCACCACCAACAGCGTTTGCTCCCGTCTTCCATCCCGGCCGCTAACATCATACAGCCCGGCTGTCCCATGCACAAGCACCAGAAGAGCGCCGACGCCCTGCTGCCCGCCCCTTCGACCTCGGCGTCACCTTCAGCGTGCCCTGTCAAGCAGGAGAACACGCCTCCGCCCGTCTCTGCCTGTCCGGTCCCTCACGCGTCTAGGAACGCCCCCACGACCGCCCCCTCTACCGACCAGCCATCCGAGTCTATGCTGTCCAAGCTCAACCCGCTCAACTACATGTTCAAGGACATCTCTCAGGCCCCCGCCCCCGACCAGACTCACATCCTACCGATCGAACGAGAGCCCTCAACCATCCCCCGCGGAGACGGCACTGGACTCTGGGAGTACCCCTCCCCTCAGCAGATGTACAACGCGCTCCTGCGCAAGGGCTATACAGACACCGACATCACTGCTGTAGAGAGCATGGTCGGCGTCCACAACTTCCTCAACGAGGGCGCCTGGGCTGAGATCATGGAGCACGAGAAGCGCTTCGCCGGCGGTATCTGGCAGGGCGTGAAGCTTTGCAGCCATGGAGAGCACGGGCTCGAGGTGGCAGCCAAGCAGTATGGTGTGAAGAAGCAGTTGGATGACCTGCAGCCCAGCCTGGTGCGCTTTCAGGGCCGGCCCAAGGATATGACGCCCAAGGCGACAATGATGCAGGTTCTGGGCTGGATCTACCCCAGTGCATACGGGTAAGTCTGCGATCATTTATGGGACTGTGGACGTGACTAATGATGACATCTGCACAACAGCACCGAGCCACCCTTCGACCGCCATGACTGGTTCGTCTCTCGCACGGTCAACGGCAAGGAGACTGAGGTCCGTTACGTCATCGATTACTACGAGGGGCCAGAGGAGCTTACTGGCGAACCTGTCTTTTACCTCGATGTGCGACCGGCAGCGACTCTGACGGGCGCAACTGAGCGAGTGGTGCGGTGGGGAACTGATGTATGGTGGAGGGCTTCGGGAGGCGATGCGCGCGAGGCTGCGCGTCACTCGCCAATCATCTCTGCTGCCGCCGCCGCAGCTGCCTCCAAGTGAGCGCCGGTGAGGTCTCATCGATTGAACGCGTTGTATGATTGAGTTGGGATTCGTTGGCTTTGCCACTGTCCGCATTCGCTTGGAGTTGTCTGGGACTGGACGGTTGTTTGGGGTGCGCATTGCTTTTCCACCTTGCACAGTGGGCGTGGGTTATTCTCCTGTATATTCTATTTTGTTCTCTTGCGTTTCGCAGCAGATATGCTCACGACTCTACGCTAGGGAACCCTGTATACTACCTTTCACACGCTTTTGTTTCTGATTAAACAATCACTTCTTGGTATCCCGCTTATCTCTATTGAGTGCCATTGTGCCTCTGCACTAGACTCGTCTTGGACAGCGACATCGACACCTACAATTCACCGCTCGCGCAAGTCTCGCCTACATTCAGTAATCGGCTTGAGGAAGCGAAGTCTTGCCTTAGGGACGTAAAGCAAGTCTGGCGCGGGAACTAATCGTCGAAACTCACTTGGCTAATCTCGCCCTTGAATGATCCGTTTGTAGAAGTACGTTTACTGCCAATTGTTTGCCGCACCGCTCAAAGAGTCGCTGGCCGAACCCACGTGAGTTGTAAGGCTCGAATCCGTTCTGGAGTACTAAAATCTGGTGCAATGCCTCAGGAATAGTATAATGGGCCGACTGTTTGCGTGGCGCAAATCTTGTTCCAGACTCGGAGCTTCTCCGAAACCAGAACAACACTAAACTCGCGCACATTTCTGGGCTCCGTCACTTCATATTACGAGGGAATCCCTTGTCCAATAACTATCCTGATACCTCGTCCGGTTGTACTTTTTTGTCAAGAAATGCAGCAAGATCATTATGGGTGGAGGACTGCTTGCACCTCAAGTAGGAAAACGGAAGGAAACTCAGGCCAGGCACGAGATCATCGTGGCCAGCGCATCAAACTTTAGGCGCACACGTCACCGTCATGAATACATCACAACATGTTCTCCTGAATCCCCAGGTTTGCCGACTGCCAGATGCATTCAGCAACGTTTCTCCGGCAACACTGAATAGCATTGTTTACCGTCCAGAGTCAAGGCATGGAGAACTGTCTGTCATGTCAGGCACGACTTTCTCTTATGTTGCTTTTCTCAGTCGCATAAAGCAAGCGTTGCAACAACGCCTTCTAAAATCCAATACTTTCTCTTGAGCACCAAAAAAAAACCGCCACGAAAGAGCCAATAATCACCTACAGCGCAGAGCAGGCCAACCTGTCAGTCCGGCACATAATTCATCGATTTTTGGTCAACAAACTCAACCACATCCGCGCGATGGATGACCTCCACTGGAGCAGCGCCGACGTCCTGGCCTACTCCATCCAGCTCGCCTCCCAAGCCACGCTCTTTCCGAACAGGGAAGACACAGTGGCATGTTTCCAGGCGATAGGTATGATCCCCTCCCCCTAACTGTACCTGCCTACCCCATCGTTCTGCCACCAAACGACAACAACCCAGCAGAAGGATACTACCACTGACACGGAAAACCTCCCGCGATAGAGCTCGTACTCTACTACGCCCGCGAGCACGGCAGGTGGCCGACCCACGCCGACCTGCACTCGCTGCAGCACTGCAACCCTCTGCTGCTCCGCCTCGCGTGCGGCGCGGCCGTTATCTGGCTGTGCTCGGCTCGCCGGCACGGGCTCGCGGCGACGCAGCTGGCCGTTCTGGCGCCGCACGCGCAGCGCATGATGGATCTCGTGGCGCCGTGGGACGACCCGTTCGAGCGGGACGCGGGGATGCAGCCGCAGCCGCAGCCGCTGCCGCCAAATATCGTGGTTCAGGACGCTGGCGATAGCAGCAAAGATGGCGGCAGAAGCGCGCGGGAGGTGACGCCACTCGGGTCTCTGTAGGACGGAGACAATGGCGGTGCTGTCCAGAGCATCCCGGCCGTGACCGCCAGATGGTATCAGGATGGGCGAGTGCAAAGTGAGAGTCCGGTGACGGTCCGAGGGCACTCCTCGTTCGTGGGTCTCACGAGAGACGATCCGTTCAGCGACTCACTGGACCAGGTCTTGGCCACGCCACAAGGGTTATTCGGAGGAGGCCCGGGTGAGGATGCGTTCTCTTCCAGGGGATTCGGGGCCGCCGACCAGGCGCCGAATAACGACTTATTCGATCCGTCAAACTGGATAAGGCAAGACACCACGGATTCTACGACTGCCGATGCATCTCAGCAGCCAGATGACAGACAGACATCCGGCCTCCCCCTGCTCGCAACATTCGCCCCGATTCCGCCAGCGGAAATGACGACGACGACGACAACAACAACAACCACGAAAACAATGTCGACGACCTCTTCTTCATCAGACGCCTTCAAGGGGCTGACGCAGTACCATAATAATATGCAGAGACACCAGTCTGCCGCGATGACTTCCTTTGTGTCGCAGGTGTACCCGACTGGTGCTAACAGTGCCGCGACCACTGCTACTCAAAAGGGTGAAGGCCAGGACGTCCAGAACGAAAACAACAACAACAACAACTTCGCGACATCTATGGCAGCGACAGCAGCAGAAGAAGCAGCAAACGCCTCTAGAGGTGGCTTGTGGGACAGCAGCAGCACTTGGTTGCACGACACGCCGCGCGCGGGTGATGCAGGCGGTGGCGGCGAACAGCCCACGGGCCGATTCCAGCAGCAGGACGCATTCAGGCTGTTCCCGACGCTGGGCGGGTTCTGAGTACGGGTTAGGTGGTGGTTTTTGGCTCCTGTATGAGCAGCGTGGGTGGGATGGATCAAGTCAGCAGTTGTCGACCTCGCTGTTGTGGACTTCGGCACACGATGTATCGCAACTCTGGAAATGGTGTTCAGTCTCCGATGGCGCAGCTCAGGAGAGTAAGAGAAATGGTACAAGCTTATGTACTAAGATCGAGATATGAAAGAGAACAATTCGCATTGCATATCGTGTTAAAGAATAGATGTTGTTATGTTTACCGACGAGGTCAGCGGCAAGAGTTTCGGGGACAGATCAGTAGGCAGCAGCAGAGATCACGGGAGTGTCTTCAGACCATAGATCACGCCCGCGGGGCTTTCCCTATTCCGCACAATCTGTGCTCTGTTGCCTGTTCCATGTCTGTATGTTGTCGTAGATATAAGTCTTTGGTATCTATTTTGTCCTGGCTTCACTCAATGGCGACGTTCATCAAGACGGGCTCGAGTTAATGATATTGTTTGGCTGGACCTTTCTCCTTTCACATCTGCTTCTTCATGTTTGCCTTTTAAGTCACATAAGAGTTGGGAAAAAAGTAGTGGGCTCATCAGATTCAAATGGTTACCTACCATCACTGTTTCAGGACGCGTGGTTTAATCGCTTTGTTGAAGAACTGTTAGGCTTAGCTCTGCACCATCAAACAAAGTGAACCGCACGCACACATTTGCAGAAATAAGGGCAAAAAAAGTATCTGGACAACTCGGGATCGTGCTCTGGCAAACAGCAAAAAGATGAGGTTCATGTTACAACTGGACGCTGTGGGAATTGAACCCACGACCTTTCACATGCGTATCAACGACGAATCGTTAGTGCGAAGCGAAAATCATACCCCTAGACCAAGCGCCCTTTCTAGTTGTTGAGGAGTAACGGCTTATAACTAACTGTATAGCATCACATCATTTAGACCCAGCACTTTGATTGTCGTGGAGGTTGCGTCCCGAGAATGTTAACTGAAGAAGGACAAAGAATGAACAGGCGAAAAGAAAAGAGAACCAGCGCGATGTACAGCTAGTAACCCCCCCTTAAATCAGTCAAGGCATATCACATTGAACTATCTCGCTCGAAGCTTCAAATTCGAAGCTATAACGCTCTACAATGGTTCCTCGTTATTATGCCAGTGTCTTACAGCAACCTCGGCGATTGATAGCTCTCAGTGGACCTGATCTGGCCGGGACAAGCCCCGCTACAGCAGTGGTTTCTACCGCAATGCGCTTGCTCCCAATCGCTTCCACGTCCTCTCTGCCAAGCAGGCAACCGGTCACGCGCGCCCGCCTCGGCGCGAACCGAGATCTGTCATGCGGAAGGACAACCCGCAGCCCGAACAGCAGATTTCAAATGTGACACCGAACACAAGCGCCAGCACGAAGCCCGGGGGAGCCAATGACGAGCGACGAGTTGATAATCGGCAGAGCATGAGACGAGCGAAGCTCCCCTGGAAACTGGCTGGCGCAGATGCTCGGGCTGCGGGCTGTGGGGATGCAGCGCGCGCGCGCACGCCGATCAGCTTGTGGGAAAGTCTCCACAGAGGGGGAGATGGCGTGGTAGCGTTGTTTGCCGCAGCCCGTCATCGTCGCTTTCCAAACGGATCACCCCCCACGACACACTTGATAATGACAATGTCCAGATTCGGCGGGTGGTCCCTAAGAGATTGGAGGACCTAGGGCTCGGCGCAGCCTACAGCAACAAAGAAAAGGGGGCCAATATGTCTCATGGAGTATTATTGCCGTGAAGCGCGGCGCGGACAGAGTGCAAAGTAATCATACAGCGGTAGCCGCCCCTGCAACGACAAAGACGATGATGATGATGATGAATCACCTGCTGGTTTGTAGCTGTCACCACTGTACCAACCCTTACTGTCCCGCGGACAAGGGGCAAAGCCGAATTTTCCCCATCCCACTCTCTAGATTCCCATGCTCGCTCGCTGGCCTTTCTTTTTTAGCGGCCGGTCCCAAAATCCAAGTTTGGGGGGAGCCTAGCTCCCGCCATTGTGGAGAGTGCTAGAGAAGAGGCTTTCAGCTTGCCAACCCGATACCTAACAGGAAGCGCCCCCCAATGCTGTTGCTACGCTGTGTACTCATGGCATCTCGTTATCTGTTAGTGAGGCGGTTTCTGGAAAAATGAAAAAGTCAAAACAGAGCTCCATCTTTGTGCATTATCACTCTCGTTTCCAGCCCCTGGGCTGAGTCTCGCAAGCTTAGCAATTGCTATTCCCCAGCTTCTGAATGGCCGGCGACTGTCGGTTTCTGTCGCTTGTGACTGTTGTTTTGCCCACTCTCCCCCCGTGGGTAGCTCGTAGCTTGGTTCCTTCTACATCCGGCAACGTCCTGCTCGTGCTAAGGGTGTGCGACGTGGGGTAGTGATGGTGTTTCCTTGGTTTCGTTGGTTGATCTTGCCGACGCCATGGGGGGGCTCGTCCTGCAGGAGTTCATGTATGCTGCCTGCTGCTCATGTGGCTTCTCTCAGTGTGACCAAGCCCCCGACCCCCCGGTTTTCTCGCATGTCGTTGGATGGGCGGGTCGGAAAAGATACTTGTATCACAAGTACCTTCTCTGCCATCCCCCTCTGACCAGGGCAACCTGGAACGCTCCGGTGCACTTTGTAATCCGAGCACTCTGACTGGCCAGGGACCTTGCAACATTCATGTAACACCACGTGCGGTCCTCTTTGACGCTGAGGGTAACGGTGCCTTTTCTTTCTTCTTCTAGATTGGTTGATGACGAAGAAATGATCCCTCTAGCTTCATTTCCTTTGGTAATCCAGAGGCTCTGACTGGTCCAGCGAGGGCAACTTGGTCAGTAATCACGGGGGTTCACGACATGTTGGGTCTCGTTTTGAACGCCTGCCGGTCTGACACGGGATCTCGGCGTCACAACTCTGGGCAATGCTACTCCTCGCTTGCGCGCTTGTGAACCCTTGTCGTAGAGAGACTTCTCGCAAGCTTGCTCTCTCCCTCTTGGTAATCCAGAGACTCTGACTGGCTCCGAACATGACGGTACGCGGGCCCCAGTCAAACCAACATCATCCTGACGCGTGAAGGCAAGATGTCTCAGCGCCTCACGGAAATGGGAACCAACATATGATCAAAACGCCGTTACTCGGCAGCCTGTATCCACAGTTATTGCCGTGGCCCTGCAGGTTCGTGCTTGCGACTAGAATTGTGTGGTTGGGCAATCCTTGTCAGCAGGGCTATGTATGATACTGATGGTGTTATTTTTTGAGATCATCAACATGGCGAGAGAAAGGTAATCAATTTTTTAGTGAAAAGAAATTGGCCGGTGAAAGCTGTGCTTCCTCATCTGTCAAGTTTGATGGCTGTAATTTTACGTCCGCGGCAGTTTTGTAGGACCATTGAGATAGTTTCGCTGGGTTACTTGTGCAACTGTGATGATTGCAATCGAGCGTTTGGTATTTCACGTACAATCACACAGTCACAGCGTCAGAGGGACCAAAACAGCTTGAATTACAGTATCTTTATGATCTCCACCTGGTCAGTCTTTTTCTGAAAGATGCAAAACTTCTTTTGGAATGACAAGGTTTGGATTTGTAAGCTTTTTCACCTCTATTCAGAGTGCTGTTGCCGCCCGGCACGCAAAAGCTCTGAGCTCTAAGTAATGGTCATGTACATAAAACAGGCATGGGTATTGGTTATTACACGGGAGAATAGGCAAACTTTTGCTCACAACCGGGCGCCCTTCCTGGGTGCCAACCCAAACATGGCATCGACAACCTCCCCGGACCGGACAGCAAGGATTGACAGCAGAGTATCGCTCAGCTGAAGAAGACGGGTTAGCAACTTGTCAACATGCAGGTTAGGTTGTCTAGAAAACTTACACCGTGCGTTCCCTCGTTTGTGCCCTGCAGATACATTCCAGAGCCAGACGCAACTTTACCGGGGGCAAATTGGACGGCGTACTCGCGAGTCACCTTCAGATCGCGCTTGCCCACCTTTGGCGCAAACTTGTAGTCCGAGCTGTTGACTGCTTGGGCCTGCGAGCCTCCGGCCGTCTCGGGGAGTAGAGACTCGATCTGGTCAATCATATGGAGATGAGCGTTCCGCTGGTAGCCAGTGGCGGAGATGATGAGGTCCACGTCGAGAAGCTCCAACTTTGCATCGGGCGCTTCAACAGGACGAATGGCAAGCTGGACTTTGTCATCGCCGAGAGGTGTGCAGGAGACGAGATCAGTGGCTCCGCGGATGCGGTGGGGCCACTGCTTCTCATCGGCGCCCAGCTCCCTACGTTGGTCATACATTTTCTCAAAAAGGTGCTCAATCAGGTCAAGCCGTACGACACTATAGTTTGTGGCTCGGGCACCGGTAATAATCTGTCGCCTGCTCTGCAGTGGGCGCTGGTAGAGGTCGTCGACATAATCCGGGTTGAAGATAGAGTTTACACTGTGGGGTTGCCGTGTTAGTGAGGACTCGTTCTGCAGAGGTGCAGCCACGTGGGAATTGTGTGTGTAGACTTACAAGGGAGAGTCGTCGCTGGGTCGAAGAAACTCTGCGCGCATCACAAGAGAGGTGCGCGAGTTTGGGTAGAGGTTCTGAATGTTGTTGAAGATTTCGGCAGCGCTCTGCCCTCCGCCGAGGACAGCCACCCGGTACGGAGCGTTGCGGTTGCTCAGTATCTTGGGTACCAACGTGGCAGTCTGCGAGGAATGGATGACGCGAGGGTGCTTGTGGGGCAACTGCTTTGGTAGGGAGGGCTGTCCTCCGATCGCAACGAGAACGTTCCGGGCGCGACATTTTGTGACATCTCCAGTCTTGACGTTCCTTGACGTCACGGTAAAAGTAGATACCTTGCCGCCTGATGGCTCGTTGTCCGGCGAGACGGACAAGACTTCTGAGCCATAGTCGACGACGTCCTCAAAGTGGCTGGAGCACCATCTGAGATAGTCTTCAAACTCAGCCCTGGCAGGTGTGAAGGTTCCTAGGTTTGAAAAGTCGGCAAGGCGGCCGTTCTTGTGTAGGTAGTTGACAAAGGTGAAGTGCGATGTGGGGTTGCGGAAGGTGGCCATGTCCTTCATGAACGATATCTGCATCTTCGCGCCGGGGAGGAGCATGCCTGCGTGCCACGCAAATCGCTGCTGCTTCTCCAGGAACTTCACCTTGGGGAACGAGCGTCCATCCAAGCCACCAAGGCGTCCAGCCGCAAAGCCATCGTTGAGGGCCACGGCAACAGCTAGACTGGCAGGACCAAATCCGACGCAGATGAGATCGTGAACCTCGTCGCTGGAGAAGCGGCGCAGGTGGGAACTGCGCTTTGGCGAGCTGCCGGAAGAGCTATCTGACAGGCTATGAGAAGCCATGGTAAAGAACAGGAAGGAATAGATCCAGGTCGTGTAAGCTGAGCTGAAGGTGCTTGAGTAGACAGACACGAAGGTGCTCAGTAGTCTGCTTGGTCCGGGAAGGGAGAGAGGGACATGGAAGAAAAAAGTGGCAAGTTCCGACGGGTAGCAGAGGTAAATGGGAACGCCTCGGGTTAAATTGCACGGCGGCGAGACAAGACGACAGCCATCCACCGCCGCAAGAGCGTATGAGACGAGAAAACGAACCAGGGCGGCTGATCTGCTCCATCCGAAATGCTGCTCACAAAGAGCCACGCCATCAACGTCACCCGAGGACCCCTTACACGGTGCCGAATGCCTGCGGGTCTGCACCGCGCACTTGCGAGGCCAAGCTCGGCACAAGAGCGGAGCAAGCTGCAGAAGAAGCCTGCCGCCACATCTAGTCCCCTTGGACTGGCTGTGGCAGCTTTCGTGTTGGCAGCAGAACCAAGCCTGCTATTGAGCCTGGGCTGTCACGTCTGGGCTGTTGATCCGTGTGGCTGGTAGGCAGCATCATGATG